AAATTTCTCAGTTATTTAGTGACATATCAGGTGTTGTGCATTCACAGGAAGGTTCATAAGGTCCTAGGTAGTTTCCAGTGACCATCCAGATACTCAGTTTTATTGGATCGTGCATCTTCCACAAATTTTCTCCAAGTTACAAGGCTTGGCATGATCTTTGAAACTTCCAGCCCACATTTATCCGTAGGCAGCTTTTGCCTGTTTCGTCTTGGGCCCGCATAGTCCTGCAGCTTACAAAAGTGCAAATCACTCTAAACATAGTTTACTTTTTTTTAAACATTAAGACACTTGCATGTCCACGTTAGCTGTCTTACACGTGAATGTACCTCTGTTCAGAGAATGTAGTCTCTGTTCTCAGTAGGCACTGCTGTTAAGGGCAAAGAATAGCAGTTTTATTATTTGGTAAAAGTTGTTAAAATGCCAGTCAGACAAATACTTATATGATCAGATAAAATAAAAAGTTCTTGATGTTGGCCAGAGCCAACTGGCAACCGGCTGGTGCTATCAAAATGCAGGGACTAGCTTTTGTTTGCTCCTTAAATTAGCTTTATGTCAAAAGACTTTTTAAGGGACGCTTCCATTTCAATTACTAAAATTGCTGACCTCGCCTGCATTGTTCAGCCTTGAAGATTTCAGGTATGTACCAACTGCTTTTCTCAGTGAAGCTAATTTGCTTACCTTTTCTTGTCAGGGTTTTAATTTGGACCCAAGTGTCTTCAATTAAATTGAAAAAAAACATCAGTCTTTCATGGAAGCCTACTGGCTTATCTTCATTTAATAATCAGTTCTGTAATTGGTGTTCAGGTTTAGCTTAACTGGGAAAATTGCAGCATTTTGCCTATGTGTGGTTATTTGAAATACTGAAATTGCAGCGTCCTTTCTATAGATGTAGCAACCAGTTCATTGAGGACATGCAAATCCTTGCTTGACCTTCTGAAGTAAATTAGCAACAGAATTCAAGGGCTGGTATTTTGATGTAAAGGGGTTGAGATGAATGCCATCTGTCGGATATCAGAATGGTTTAATGTAGCCCTCTTTTATATCAGGTACTCTCCATATTGCTGAGATTATTCTGGGGGCTGTGCTGCAGTCCAGTCTCTGTATTCTAGTGCAATTTGCCTTCCTGTGACTTGATGAGAATATCTATCCAAAAGCTGAGAAATACTACATTCTCCACTCTTTTCACAATTTGCAAGAGATTCACTTGTGACACCCGTCTGTGCTGTGTGAGGGGCTGCTGAATCCTGTAGCTCAATCGAGGTGAGGCTGCTGCAGCTGCATGCGCTCACATCCCACCAACAGCGAGGCTGAGCACATATTCCTGATTGGCACAGGCACACGCACAGATTCTACATACGTATGTACACACGTGGCTACACTGCACCAGTGGCCTCATCCTGATCCCCTCTCTGATTGATCAAGATGAAAGACCACTAAGTGGAGACTGTATCTACATATATACAATGTGGATCCCTCCAGCAGCTGGCTATAGACACAATCTATCCAGCAGCCAGCCACTGGATCCCTGGTCTCCTCAGCTGCTGGCATCGGAGCATGTGAGCCCCAGGGCCCCACTCCAGTTGTACTCACATGCACACACACGCACACGCACCCGCACACATACGTGCCTTATGGATCCTCCAGGAGCTACTCTTAGACACACAGTCTGCCCACTGCCTCCACTCTGGATCCCCTGGTCTCCCCTTGCCTCACCCAAGGACACAGGCACCGGCAGGTCTCTCTTTTAGCTGGTCTTTTAGCTGGTCCAGACCTGTGGCCTTATCAGCAGCTGACCCTGCCAGACTTCCAGACCCCAGGGTCTCTCTGCCATCTGAGTGAGACTTATTACGACCTCTTCGACATCTGGATCCCGACCTGTAATCCAATTTGGCTAGTCAGCCTGATATTTGCTAGCAATCACATGCTGATGTGTTGTGTACCCATGACACGCATGTGCTCCAGCCCCTTTGATGTGTGGCTCCACTCCTGTTGCTGGACTTAGACCTCTACATGTACATGCACACAGAGCAGAGAGCCCCTCACCCAGAAAAGCAGATAGAAATGGAGGTTATTGAGAAGACAGGTCAGACTGCACTGATCTGGTGCAGGGCAGGGCCGGACAACCCTGTTGGGGCTTGGAAGTGAATGTCTGAGGCTACAAACTCAAAATTAGAAGAACCAGGTCACCGCAGACTAGAATCTCTTCCCTCACCAGAGCCCAGAGTAGAAGTCAAAGACTTCATCAGGCTTTTCTCTGTCTCCTGTTTCCAGGATCCTCTATGTCAATGCAAATGACTCCCTCCTCTTTACGCTAGGTCCAGGCCTACTCCTCAGTGTTGAAACACTACATAAATTCTAGTAACAGGAATTCAACAAAGCTAAAAAGTGTATTTGATACAGAGCTGGGTGAAGAATAGGAATATTTACAGAGCATGGCACAGGAGCTGGATTACCTTCCCTCACAAAATGCCTCCCTAAGAGTCTCACGTTTGGTCTGCAACATCTTTTTATCAGGCAGTCACCTCACAAGGGGTCTTCCCACTGCTGTTGCATGGTACCTGATAGCTCCTCATGTTTGGAGGTGCAATCTTCATTCTTCATATACTAGGTTGGAGTAGAAACACCATATTACCAAACAAAAATGGTTTCCTTTTTTTCGTTTGCTTGTTTTTGCCGTGTTGAAGTAAAGTGGTAAGAGGCCATTACTAATGACAGTGGATAGAAAGAGTATTTCTTTGACAAGATCGTAATGATATGAATGATAGTTCTCTGGACCATCTGCACCTCAGAGAAGGTAAACTGATTTCAAACTGCTCAATAAAAACTCAAAAAAAGCTCAAAAGCTCATCTCAGTGCACCAGCTATTGACAACGATACTTTCCAAACTCAAACACAGAGCAAAATGGTTAAGAAGTTTGCCCTCATTATTTATGTAATGAAAAAAGGCAATGAACAAAATTTAATGATTTTTCTGCTGTGTTACCAGCCCTCAAATCCAAATATTTACAAAAAGCACATGGTACCAAGCTCTTTTTATCCTGTTCCCTTCATACTGGTCCTGAAACCAAAGGTATTTCAACTTAAAGAGAAATCCTTTGTCAGCTTCAAATTGGAGCATCTAATACACTAACTGTTATCATGTAACTAGTTCCATTTTTGTTAACGCATGCCTGTGCTACAGTAACTTTCTATAAGCAATGTGTATAAATGAAGTGTTTTTGAAAACTCTTTTGAAATATAATTTTTGCCACCTATAAATGAAAAGGCCTTAAGTAAAATCAGCTTTAGAAGGTAGTGCAGAACATAAAATATTCCTAGTATTTATGGCAGAATATTTTCAGGTTTGGAAACCCCATTTATTGAAGAAGTGTTTGAAAGGAAACATAGAATCTAATTCACACTTTAAACACTTAAGACAGATATTCAAGGCATGCCAATGCACAACCAAATAAATTAAGAATGTTATATATTTCAGCATATTTGATCAAAATTGTCGATAAACAAAGTTATAGTTACTAGAATGAGAGAACAGAATACTAATTTCTGAATTTTCATTAACTGCTATACTGAAGTCCCTGAGAGAATAAGAACAAATTGGACATCTGTTGAATTAGCATTGCAGCAGTATGACTGGGTAATGCACTCCAGAAAAGAGCAAGGGAAATCTTAAATGAATTTGCAGGAAAGTATTTCTACCACAGCTGCAGATCATAAAATCAACTGGAGGAAGATTTTGTCTTCTGAAATGAAAAAAGCATGTTTTAAAAATATATTAACTTAAAAAATGAAAATGGGTTCTGAGTGAACACAGGAGCCATATGCTTTTTCAGCTGAAGAGACATAGAAATGTTTTTTATGTTGCAGTTTTATAAGAGCTGTCACTCACGTAAAAGCACAAGGACAGCCTGACAATATGAGTAAGCTATTAGTTACGTAGTTACATAACAATGCTGGATCAGAGGAGCTTTGTGCCACCGTTGGACACTTGGCAGCAATTGCTCAGCTGCTGTCTGCACAGTGTAGTCAGTACATTTCTGAAGGGCAAAAAATGTCTCCTTCACCCAGTAAACATGTCTTTGGTCACTCTAGACAAGAGAACTGTTTCCTTTGTTAGGCAAAATCTACTCCCCCTCCCCACCCCCAAAAAAGAATTCTTTCTTGAATAAGGAGGACTGAAATGAAGAAGAGTTAAAACACACTTTTGAACAGTTCACTGTGCCAATCAGTGGCATCGCCCTTGTGAGTAAGGCACGCATGTGTGTGGAAGGGCTGAAAGCTGGGTATCCAGACTGTAGGCTGGCTGCTGTTTCCCTTATCAGACGGGGTCTAGCTACTGCAAAATTAATTTGGCAACCGTTTGATGTCCTTATTCAGTGCTAGATTCAGTGCAGGCTTTAGCTTGAAAAGAAGATCTTCAAATGAAAGTTACGGTCCAGATAGGTCCTATTCTGCTGCTCCCCAAACTGGGGAAGATGCCTGCCCTGGGGTAGGTTAAAGTTTCCCAAACAGCTGCACATAGCTTCCTACAGCTACCCCGCACTCGGCAAGTGGATCCTTAGCTCTGTCCCTGGTTCATGTGAAAGCGAGAGCTGTGGCGGCAGACCTTCTTTCTTTGCTGTCAGGGAGCAGAGCAGAGCAAGATGAGCAGAGGGCAGCAGCTAGGCAGCTCACTGGGATGCAGGCCCGCTGAGGCTGAGACTGGCTTGAAGCACTCTAATCAGGGTGGGCAGAGGGGTATCATGACCATTGTACCACTGTCACCACTGCTGCTTCTTCACAAGAAATCTGCCAGCTCTTCCTGGGCTGCGATTCACACTAGATTATCCTGAACTAGCACTTTTGAATTTGCTTGATGTACAGAGAGCTTCAAAGCAATTCATGGGAAGTGCTGCTAGAAAACACAAGGAGACCTAGCATGGATGGTGTCATGTTGTGGAAATGTGCTCATATCATATTTTTAGTTCATCTGAATTCTGAATAATCACTCAGAGTATCTTCTTTCAAAAGCAGTATTTATTTTTTCATCAAGATAAGACACATATGACATATGGCATAGAGTAAAAAATACTGCTAGAAAAGCTGCATTTAACTGAGATAACAAAAAATATATATATAAATTGCACTTGAGGAAGTAGGCTCTATTCCAGAAGAATATACTAAATAAAAAGCTAGTAGTGAGTGGCTTTGAAATTAGAAATTTGTTTGAGTTTCCTTCGAAAATCATATTTTTGGGGGGGGTTTCCAATTCCAACAATAAAAATGAAACATTAGCTTTTTTAACAACATTGTTTCTTAAGTTAAAACAATATATAAACAACATAGCAATTACTACAAAGACAAAGAGAAAATAAAGGTGTGGAAAAACATCGCTGCAATTTCTGTCAATAAATAAAGAACACTAAGTTTTGCTGGTATTTGATTTCATCATGGTCATTGCAGCCTGGGGTTTGGGCTTCTGGGAGCTTTATTTAGTTCATATGCGTATTATCACCCTCACACTGCAACACAAAGCCCATACTTGAACCCTCTTCTGCGCTGACCTGGAGCATAGAAGTCACTGTCTTTATAGGAGATGTCAGCAAGAAGCAATGACTTCTCATCAGTGGTTCCCATTCATTGCTCTGTGTCCCAGGGGAAAGACTTTTCTGACAAGTTTAGGCTATATTTAAGAAAATTAAACCAAAATTAAGCAAGAGGATAATCCCTATTATACCAATCTCTTTTTTTCTTTACAGCTGAATTTCTCTGCTGGGCCCTGGCATCCACCACTGCCTGTACCTAATTTAGTTGGCTAGTCTCTAAAATGGCCATTCATATATCATCTACTAGAGAGAGAAAAGCTCCCATACTAGGTGATTTGAACCTGGGGCTCTACAGAACGCTTTAGAAGAGCCTCTAGCTCTTTCTCCATTGCTTGTAGAGGTAACTTAGGCGCCTAGCTGCAGGTATATCCCTAAAATCCCTAAAATTTCCCTCTAGAAATACCCCACAGCTATTCAGATTGGAAACTGGATGAACATGCATAAATGCATGGGAGATGCCAGGCACGGTGGATGCCTAGTAAACATTTTCCCCTGAGGAGCGGGAATGAATGGACTACCCTAAGCAAAAAGTCATATGAAATCGATGTGTCCTACAACCAATGCCAAATATTAGGCCAGAGGGCTTTGCGGACCACATTTGTGCACCATTCAGTCTGGAATATCTTTTAGAGACAGTGCACTGTCTCAAAAACAATCACTAGTGTCTCCCATGCAAATTTCTTCCAAAACTAGCTAAAAGTTATGGAAGAGCAGGGTAAATCTTGCTGCTAAGCTAGAGACAGAAAAAGAATGAAGTCTTCTTTAAACAACCCTGAAATAAGAAATCAAGCTGGCAATCTTTGGTTACAGGGTTGTTCTTTAAAAGTGAATTGCTTTGAAAAATGATGAATCACTTCCTAACTCAGCATTCAAGTGCATTTTTAAATAGATATCTGGGAGCCAGAGAGGAAAAACTAATATAAATAATAAAAATTCCACACATTTTGAATCTCAAATGTTGAAGTACAGGAAATAAAGTAATACAACATTTCTAAGGGATGCTTCAGGAAAGTTTTGCTAAAATTATAAAAGACAGAGCACTCATAAAATACTTGAGTTGATAAAGAGACTAAGTTATAACATTAGGGCACTTTTTTATTACTAAATTGTAGATAACTGAGAGAGAATGGCCTAAAGGCGCTCAATATTATAGCATACGCGAGATTCCATTAATTATGACACACTGTTGTCAAACTACTGTGCTCTTTCAGAGTGGCAGAAACACAAGAGGCATCATACACAAAATGAACTGATGCAGCCTGTGTCTGCTATTAAATATAAAACCTCAGCCATTAAATATGCCACCCCATTCTATTACATTCATGATCAAAAGTCCAATTCTATTCCAGACTTAAAACTGCCTGCAATTTACACTGAACAACTTTTGGAGCAGTATTTCAAAACTTTTAAAGCCAGTTTGGAAGGACTTTTTTTTCCTTTTTCAGTTAGAGCACTTTCAGAATATTTTAACAGGTACAGGAAGCTATGCTGTAGCTTTTAAAGTGCTTATTTTATTATGAGGTGGTGTTTAATAATATTCATTTTGTGGAAGTTAACACATGATGCACATTTTCCATGACAGACAGAGTTGGCTTAATGAGCAAATATGCCTCAGCAAAATGCAATGAAAAAGAAATTCACTGTCAACAGTTTAACCATGGCAATACATATAGCTGAAATCAGACAACTAACCTCAGATAACTAAGATTAATGGATATATGATGAAGTAACAATATTCCTTATTTGAAACAAACAAACAAACAAACCCCAAACCAAACAGTGATAATGAAATCTCAAGCACAGTTTTGTTTCCCAGTAATGCAACTGCAAAATGAATCAGTACTTTCAACAAACAAGTGCCTTATCTCCATTGCCTGCTCGGGGAAACGTGGTACTCCTTGAACTACAGTGAGGAAGAGAATGCGTGAGGGTTGTCTTTCGCTTTTCATATCGAAGGGGCTCATCCTGGGAAACTGTGGGCAACTGCAGGCAAGTGGCTAGAGTCCAGTCCAGGTGTACAGTGACCAGAATAAGCACCAGCACATGCAGATTTATCTGGGGCCTTGGCAGAAGCCCTCTTGTTGCCATTCTCGAGGAAATCTGGATGATGGTTCCTGTGATGCTAGAGCATTAATGCAGAAGTACTGTCCTCTGCAGCCCCTGCAACCACCAGTGCCCTAGCTCATGCTAAGCATTTACGAATTCCAGCACTTGATTTGCCTGAGCACAAACAGTGAGTTTCGATTTTACTGGTGTTCTATTTCACATAGTCCTGGATTTTCCTCATTATATGTCACTGTATTGGAAAGGAACACTGGAAAGTTCCTTTTGGGAGCTGGATTAAGCATCATATATTTTTGTGGGATCAAATTATCTCTTCATTTATACCCACAAAACTCTACTGACAGTTAGGGGAGTTGAGCAGGTAGAAATGATAGCAAAATTTGAGTGTAGGAACCTGTTGAGTGAGAGATGTGCAGAAGCACAATGTTATTTCATTGCCAGCTACCACAATTAGCTACACAACTTTTGATTAATTTCATTAGGCATTGTGAAGTTAAGGCCAATAAGGGAGATGTGAAAATCTCAGCCCTCAGAATCTAGTCATAGCTAAACATAATCCTATATTCTTGGATGCTGATACATAATTCTATGATATACCTGTTTAGCTGCCATGGCACTAAATCAGCACAGCTACGCTGAAACGCAGCAACCATTTTTGCTAATTGCAAAGGCAGGCTAGTAGCAAAGTTCAAATGATTAGTGAGTAAAGGTCCCCAGAGCAATCCTGCTTAAAAGTAAATGTCCAGTAAGCTGCAATTAGCATATCTTGTTGTTTTTTCTTTTTTTTATCGGGGTGGTCTTGAACTGCAGATACAATCACAACGCTCATGGTGATCCAGCTGTATATCTACTAAGGCCATGTTGTTCCTGGTTCTGCCTTTCCTTCTGGGATGCCCAGCCTCTGGAACGAATTTCAGCACCTGGGAAGATGAAGGGAAATGCACCTTTCAGAAAACTTTGTTAGTGATTTCAGGATGAGAATGTCAGGGTCCTGAGAGCACTAATAGGCCGTAATGGTCCTGACCAGCCTCACCAGAGGCTTCCACTCACACTCCCTGCTCACGGGCCCATACTCCTTGGATTGCTTCTCTGAGTTCTGTTTCCTCCCTTCCTAGGTCAAATAGTCCTCCTTCTTTCCTGCTCCATCTCCCAGCAATGCCAGGCTGGGTTAATTCATCCCTTTCCCCTATACTTCTTCATCCAACAGGCTGGACTGGAACTGCAACTTTCTGCATGTCACTGACATGGGGAGCTTGCTGCTTCCCTGCTCCTCCCGCACCATTTGTTATATTTCTGTGAATTCAGCTGCCCAGCTTGCTGGGACAGGGTCAGTTTACTCCTGTTCATGCCTGGAAAAATGGGGTCCAAACTCTAACAGGGCCTCTGGACTCCTGAAACATTGATAAAAATTTTCTAGCTAAAATAATAGGAAGCACTGCTCACAGACAAAACAGAGTTAACAGCGAGTCTACTCTGTCATACTGCTAGTGCTTTCATCATTGTCATGCTGGAAGGTAAAGCTGCTCATATACACCTGTACACACTCTCAAGATAGTCTTCAGGTCATCTGTCTTTGCATTATATGTTTTGGGGGGCCTTTGATGCTATCTTGGAGTATAGACTTTATTTTCTGTTAACTCAGACATATTTTTGTCATATTTCCAGCATTTTTTCCTACTCTGTGAAACCCTTCTGCATTGTCTGTCCTGGAGCTTTGACAGATTGGATTATTGCCTACGTCAGGTATCTTTATCTCATGCAATTCCCTAAACATGTTCAGAGTTGTTCCTTTGCATGCTAATTATCAAGCATGTTTTCTTTGGTTTGTCCTTGCAGCCCCATGCATATGTGAATGGCTCAGCCCCTTCCCTCAGTTGTATAATGCTTCTGCATTAAAGAACAGAGAGCATTTTTGATGCAGTTTGAAATTTCTGAAGCACATATCATAAGAAGCGGTCCAAAAATAAAATGTCTGTGAGAGGTGGAAGGAGATGAATGAAACTTTGGGATCCGAGTATGCGACTTTTGTTGGCTTCCCTTTAAAAAAAAATCTGTGCCTTAATTCAAACAATTTCTTAAGATAGGTTACTGTGAAAAAGGAAAAAGAAACAAATCAACAAGGACATCCCAGGGCAGGTGGTTATAGTAAAAGAAGCTTCTGAAAAAAATTCTGTCTAGGCAAGAGAACCCACCAGCCCTCAAAAGGAAGGTTAGGGGGATACAGGTTATAAAGATGATGAACAGGAGGCAATGAACACAAGTGCAACAAGGGAAATATTATTTAGGCACATGAATGAAAATTCCTCATAATAAGAGTGGTTAAACACTGGAACAGGTTGCCCAGAGAGGTTGCTGAATCTCCATCCATGGAGACAGTCAAAACTTAATAGGGTAAAGCAACCTCATCTAACTTTGAAATTCTCACTGCTTTGAATGGGAGATTGGATTAGATAACCTCCAGAGGTGCATTCCAACTTGAACTATTATATGATTCTATAACTCCATGAAAATGGTGTTGTGGATATGTGGAAAACAACTATAATTTCAAGTCCTATCTCATTTTTTGTGATAGTGTAAATATGCAAATCATGAACTGGAAAAAAATTGGAGAGGACCAGGAATCTGCATGGGCATGTTTCACGAACCCACTGTTGGAAGCTGAGTCTTTCAGTAAGAGCTCATACTACAATTAGCATGGTGGCTCAGAACGTGGGGAGAGAATCCATTATTTTGTTTCATTAGGTTATTCTCTTCTACAAGCTTAAATTAGTAAAGTTGAGGGAAGAAGAGTTATTGTTTATATGCCCACAGTAGCTAAATAGGAGAGATAATAATTTCAAACTTCTATCTGAAACTCAAGTATTAATTTTGATTAAGTACAACAAATGAGTTAAGACTAAGGACACTTTAAATTTCCTAGAGTATTCTTCTTCTTAAATCTCACAGCACATTGCAAAGAAGGTTTTGCCTCATTGGCCATCTTCTATAGCTGCAGATCCAGAACTGATTTGCTCAAGGCTCCACAATAGATCAATGTAAAAATTACCAGAGGCACCTTTTTACTGTTCCTGAGTACCTTGCTCTCACTTACTAACAGATGGCAAGCAGGACATAAAGAAAGCAAGGTAGCAGCTCCTCAGCTGGGTGCTGGTAGGTTCTGCTGACTGTGGCCTAAATCACTTCAATCCATGCACTAATAAGGTACTTGAACTAACATATCTCATCTCTTGGCAGGCTATTGCAACTTGTGCTAACTTGGCCTAGTGACTTCTAGATTATCTAGAATTGTCTTGCTTCTAACGCAAAGGATGGAGAGCAGTCTATCTATCTTGTCTATGACCTGCCACTCTGGTCAAGCATGGAATGGGATCTAAATCACCTTTATTGAGTATCTCAACCACAGAAACAGCCATATCTTCTGCCTTGAAGAAGAGGCCCCCTAATTCACAGATCATGCTGTCACTCAAGTAAAAATCCTCAAAAATTCTCTCTTTTTTTTTTAAACAAAGTAATTTCTGTGTTTTAACCTCAAAACACCATGCAAGAACGGAGGTAGTCTTGGGAAGGAGAGGGAGAATAAGGGGCTGGATACCAGATGCACAGAGTATTGGCAGCTTCAACAGAATTAGAAAGTCCCAAAGAGTAAATCTCAATGACTTTCCAAAGGCTAACCAGGAATTCTGTGCAGAGATGAAAGTGGAAAGGAAGCCAGGTGAGTCGCCTTCATTACAAGACCATTCTTTCGCCACTGTAATGCCCGGAGGGTAGCAAGGCCATGGGATGTAACAAAAGTGATGGGCACTGAACACAGTCTATTATATTGTCCACCATTTTGTGGCAAAATTCATGTTCAACCTACGTAACACTGAGAGGAAGGAGAGTGTAAGGTACCGAAGCAATGGTTTAGCCTGTGGGGAAGACACAATTATTTTTCCCTGTTAAAAATACAGGGACATGCCAATTTTGTAAAAAAGTAACAACATTACGATTGGTTTGAACTGGTTTCAAACATTGAACTGCCTCAGTATATGCAACAGATGCTGATGGACACGAGGACAACTCACTGGACTACACTGACGTCCAAAACACAAAGGAAATGAACCGAATCGGACTGCTGAGATTTCTTCAGAGCTGAAAACAGACTGCATCTTCAGAGATGCCTTTTTTAAGAAAATATAGTTTTAAAATCAAGTACAGCGGCTGGAGCTGAACTCATGATGATGATGAAATTCTTTATTTAAAGAAGCCTTTCATCAAAATCTGACAACTTCAGATGACTGGCACTTTGCAAGATGATGGGTAGGTAGATCTGCTTTTTTCAATTGAGAGCAAATGAAAGTATACGCAATATGATGAGAGCAAGGATGTGGGCTGTATTTAAGCTAACAGACCTCCTGACAGCTTTGGGACTTTCCCTGTGTTTTCTATTAAGAAACATTGAGAACAGTATATGGGCTTTGCTGATAAGAGTAGAAAAATGAATTGGCAGACACTTCTCCCGACAAGACAGGAAAGCAGTGTTTGAACATAGCTGAAATTGGACTGCTTTAATAGCTGATCACAGAACTGATGCTCAAAGCTTTCAGTCTAGCCTCCATCTAATAGTTTTAGTTTCAGTTAAATACAAGACTATTGAAAAGAATCAGGAAGGTCACTATTCCTGGTGACCACAGTAGTTGAAAGAAAACTGTTACTCTGGAAATAGCACTGTTTATTCATTACACAGTTAGTTCCTTAAAAGTGAAGAACTATTGAATTAATGAAAACAGTTCAAAGAAATTGTGCTCAGGACAACTTTACTGCTCCTTGTTTTCCTGAGATCAGTAACATTGCTGCTGTAAGAAAATATGGGTATGAGAAAGACCTGGAATGTTCAAAAGGTTTCTTTTTGGTGTGAGAAAAAAAAAGGAATAGGCTTGCAGTTTTAAAATTAAAGGATCAATGCTCATCTGTACTAATGAAGATGGGGTGCCTCAGCTGTTTAGCTCATCGCCTTACAAAAAAAATATAACCACAGCTGTATCCCCTTCATCAAATGATGAATTAATTATGGGCATATAACCATTGAATTAAAGAATAAAAACAAGACAGAAGACTCAACATCTGAGCGGGATCTGGTGCTTATAGGTAATACAAAGAAAAAGGGTATTGGAGCCTAGTAACATTTCTCATGCAGATGACTCCACAGGAGACTATTATGCTATGTCATCTTTCTTTGTAGATGTGCCTGAACATCACAGAGGTTTCAAGGTCAGGTGGCTGTGGCAACTGCATAATTTTCCTTGAGGGTGGTGGTGAATGAAATAGAAAGAAAATGCTTAAACATTCTTCCCTGCCAGTAATCTTGCTCTTTGATGATACATTGAATTTAGATGCCAGATTCTGAAAGATTCTAAACTAGAGGACAAAAACATAACAACCAGCATCCAGAAGCCAAAGCCAAAACAACTCAAACTGGAATAAGGTACAAGTGTTTACGTTAGGCTCCCTTATCACTTGAATAGCCCTCCAAGGAACAGTGGGGTTTTCAGTCTCAGCTTGAGGACACAAAAAAAATTGATGCTTTTCCAGAAGGTATATAATGCAAGTGTTGGTCTTGCCTTGGGGGCAGCAGGGTGCGCACTAACGCCTGTGAAGCACAGAAGCTCATGGCAGATGGCCCAGAAGTTCCCTCTAATCTCAGCCATCTATAAAAGCACTCTGATTTGGCATGAGTGGGAGGAGGGGAGGGTTATAAGAGAGCAAAGTGGTGATGGCTGCTGAGGAAAGGACACACTTGGAGATGGCATGTTCACTGCAACCTGTATCTCAGCATTTCTCTAGCAGAAGCAGCAACAAAGGGGCAACTCCAGAGGACGATTCACCTGAAACACCTACCTCTGAATGCAGTGGTGGTGCCTAGCTCTTTCTGTTAACTTGG